GAATCTGAATCTGAATCTGAATCAAACACTTACTTACTTACTTCAGCAGCCTGCCCACATATAATCTGTATTTCAATGTAACCTCCCAAGATACATAAACATACCATATGCAGTTAGAGAACAATACATTGTACAATTCAATGAAAGGAATTCTCCATAAACACACAGGTTGTGTAAAGAAGCTACAAATGTCAAAGCCCCCTGGAGGGGGAACTGGAACGCAGCTTAGAAAGGAACAAAATGATGTTGTTCAGGACCACAGATAAAGTACCACAGTGTTGGTGGCGCCGGCTGCTCAGGATACCCTGATAAAAGTGATCTATAGCTTCAGGCATTAAACAAATAAATAAAGTCAGCAGTGCTGATGTGAGGTCACTTTGCCTTCAAGTCATAGCAGAGTCCAATATATTAAGAACAGCTTGATCCTTTTGGTTCCTGTGTGTCTGATACTCCATCAGGCTGGTGTGGATATAGTTGGGTATCTGGCCAATCAAACAGTACAATGCCTCATTTACAGAATGCAATCCTATCATTTGTATCAGGAGTGAATCCTTTTTAGCTCGAGTGCCGCTGGGAGTGTGTATTTTGTCCAATTCCTCCAGCAATCAGGAGATGTATTTTCCTCTGTCCTATCTGCATGCCTAGAACCATTAACACAGACGGTCTGATATGATCGCCACTGAGGAGGCCAAATGCTTTCATACAGTATCACTCCACAGACTCTCAAGTTAAAAGCGGGTGTGGTCTCTACCACAGAAATTAGGTTTGGCCCATTAAGTGCTGAGACTTAGTTAACTGATTATAGATTTTCTAAGCTAATGAGATAAAATATATCAAATAAAAAAATATATAAATATATGTTTCTACTTACTTGCTATCAAAGGCTTACACTAAAATGAGAGTTTTTTTTGCTTATTGTTGCATTTATGTCTACAATAAGAGTAGCATAGATTATTAGATTGGTCCATTATTTATTTGCAGCATTAGAACAGTGAATCTGACAAACAGAAGACATTATTCCTCATAAATGTATAGACAAAGTCTAACTGGCACCATTAACAGTATGCTGAATAAGTTATTAGCAGTTCCTGTTTCCAAAGTACCCGTGGATGTTCAGACAACTATCACAGGACTGCTTTGATCCTGCAGAAATCTTACAAATGTGATGATTCTCAGACAAGTTTTCGAGATAATAGGAGAGTCTTCTTTCTATGCCTACAAAGTAGATTTGTGGACCTGTATTTACAGAGATAATGATATCCTCTGGAGGTGTACGTCACACTGAATCTAAAAATATGTGTATCCTGTGCCATGTGGTCAGATTTGACTGAATTACGACTTTAAAAAAGGAGATGGATTTTGACACAAACGGCAGCTCACGTCTTAAGTCTCTCCCTCTGCCCCCTCTCCCCGCGGGGCAGTGCACGTCACACACCTCCTTTGTGTTTCATTTTACCAACTTCATCTGTATTTTCTTACACTGTTTAACGTGACAAACTAAATTTACTGGACCATTAAACCCATTTACAAAATATGAATCTCAGTTGTCACTGGCAGCGAGTGTTTAGTTCCTCTGTAGTTCTCACTAAGCTGCACTCTGTGAAGGGATGCATTAAAATGCACCGCGGGTACATTTCATCACACATACTTGTCAGGACAGCATGTCAGGGGCTATTTCCTCTTGGTAGCATGTGACAGGGCATCAAGCACTGTCAGCACTTCAGACCAATGATAGATGGCATACAGGCATTAAACTATAGAGCCCATGGTGTGCCAACCCCAACACACATGCACATACACACTGACACGCACATTTGAAGGTCTACTTTGTTTTTTATGTTTGAAAGGAGACGACGTGGCTGACCTCATCCTCTAACAGGACCATTAGGGCATCCACTGGAGTCCCACAGCCAGTGAACCAGGACGTAAAACCATACAACGAGCCATAATCTAATACAGCAGATGACCAAACCTCTCTCGACAATACAAGAGTGCCTCTGTAAACCGCTTTCTGTTTACAAACTAGACTGGAGGATGTTTGTATGTCGTCATTTTTGTACATTTTACACCACTTTCTAATGACTCACCTTTAAAGTGTTTAATTAGTATTAATAATAATACTTTATAGGTCCAGCCATTACACTTATAATCAGTTTACATGAATGAATGTGAAGATTCATACTGGCTATTGTTTAACCAATTCTGTACTACTTTCTGACGATACGTCATTTACCAAGGATTTATTTATTTATAGCTATCAGCTTTAAGCTATTGATAAGAACACTGTCAAGGTTGCCAGGTTAGTATGCAGAGCCATCTGGAGCAAACAGCATTTATTGATAACTTATGAGCATTTGCAGCTGCAGAATGGGTGGATTTCTGGAACAAAACCAGCTGAAGAGATTTTTCACAACCTGGCAACCCAAAACGTATCCTTAAAAATAGCCTATAACTGCTCTCTCAGTTACAGTTTATAAACCCTTTATAAAGGGTGCCTCACAGGAAAGTGGTACCCTGATTCTAATGGATTTAACCCTTTAGTATAAGACAACACTTTTTATTCATTTGTGTTGTATTAACTTTCAAAAATCAGTCTACAGAAGTCAAACAAAGCTACAAATCACTCTAGAAATGTGTACATAACTTACCATATTGACTTCTGACACCATGTCTATACTGGCCACGTCTATACTCATGCCAACAGCAACCGGTGGACCTTGAGACACACAGAATAAAGTTGACTATAGTCAAACAGCAGGGTAAAGACACATATCGGGGAGCCATTAGGGAGAAAAACACACCAAATGAGCGACCCCAGACATACCTCCAAAGTCTGGCCGAAGACGAATATCATATCCTTTCAACAGTTTATCCACAGTCTCTTTGACGTAAGACATGTTCCCAGGTTCGTTGACGCTGAAAGACAGAAGAGAAGAAAGACGGTAACTCTTGTTAAAGACGGACACCCTCACTTGTGTCCGGTTTCTGCCCCCAGACACTCACCTCTGGGCACAGCACATCACTGCCACGACCAGCGGCAATGAAAGAATGTCAAAGAGCCCTGTTTTCTGGGGTCCCCACATCCCTCGTGTGGTGCCTGGATGGATGGGTGCTGTCCAGCGTTCAACAAATGACAGAATGAAGAAGCCACGGTGCTCACACTCCCGCCGAGCTCCGTTAAATCAGGTGAGACTTCTTCCACATAGTGTGTAGCTCTGGCGCAGCCTGTGTTAACATGCTTCATGAGGCACAGGCGCGTTTACTCGGATGTCAGACGTGTCCACCCAGCAGCCGTAGAGCCTCACACGGGCTGCTCCGTGTCTCCATCCTCCGGTTAGCAGGGTTCAGCTTTTAGCGGGTTAGTTAGCTCACAGGTGCGCTACAAAATGTGTATCAAATATCCACTATTGCACTTCTAAGGCTACAAATCCACAGGTCCGCTGTCCGAGGGGTCCGCATGCGTAAAGTACACGAATATGTGGTCGCCCGGGTTCACAATAAGCCCTCACAGAGTGTGTTCACACTGAAACCAACTCCAGTTGGGAATATGACTCTTCATGTCAGTGTGCGCGAGGGTGCCCTGGTAATCATTAAAGCCCACGTGACGGACAGAGTGCATATAGAAGCTCATTTAAGTGGCTGTCCTGCAGTGAGAGTCTTAGACAGGGCAGGAGTTCAGTTATGTTAAGATGCTGACGGGTGGGGTGAGGTAGGAGCCCTTTTCTGAAACTGTTCCAAGAGTGATACTGTGTGTGTGTGTGACATAATGAGACACCTCCATGTTTTATTTTTGTCACAGCAGAGGGACGCTCGAGCAGCCCAAGTGTCTCTTGTCAACCCACGAGCCTCTCTGGTTGTTTCTGGTTGTCTGGTTAGCTAAAGAAAAACGCCCCCCCCGCCCTCCCCCCCCGTGAGTTGTTCGAGTCCCACTGCTGGTGTGACAAAGAGTGGGCAAAACTGAAGCATGGGGTGCAACCTATGAATTTCTCTACACTGTGTAACTTTTTAAAGAACAAATTCTTCCACGCATTCTTCCTCTTGCAAATAAAGAAAACATTGTTAAAACACGCTTTGCTCAGTGTTGGGCTTGCTGTTAGAGCCTTATTTGGTCTGTTATGACCAGTATGGTGGGCTAATATTAGGCTCGTGTTAGCCGGCTTTAGCTAGATGGACTGTTATAGAGGGCATTACTTGAGCCAGTGCTGACCATTGACAGTATATACTGTAATTAGGGTGCTGGCTAGTGGTCAGACTATGCAAACTAAGCATTACGCCTACCATTAGCTTAGCATTAGTCTAGGACAGCAGCCGTTCAGCAAAAATTACATAGGCCTCCTTTTAAATCTAGTTTAGACATTCAATTTGCCCAGCGCGTGATGGATAGAGATACAGAGAAATCTTCTGGCTACCTAAATGTTTTCAGGTTTTGAGAAAACGGATCAGTGGAAGATTGCAAAATGGGTTTGGGAGGGTATGTAGGCTGGCTGTCTATGGAGTCTGCTTAATAGTCTTA